TTGGAAAAAAAGGAGAAGTGAAAACTCCTTGAAGGATAAGGCATTTCCACACACCAATAAAAATCAGCACTCTCCATAAGACAGTATATATAAAAGATACTTGAAGAATGACAAGGACCATACGGAAGTGACCAAAATGCCTGATTCACTTTTTATCAAAAAGAGATTAAAACAGCATTATTTTTTCATTACAAGACTATCCAGAATATTTGAGATCTGTTCTCAAAGACAAAATAGTATAACTAAAAAATAATTTTAAAGCAATAATTCAAGTCTCTTCTATGACTTAACCAGAAAATATGTACTTTGAGCGGGACTTCTGTACCACTTACATTACTGATTTAGTTCCTACATTCCAAAAAGGTCAGAAAATTATAAAGTGTTTAATATAAAAACGGCAGATGTATACAAATACTTTTATCATAGAAATAAAGAATACTACAATTTCTTTTTCAGGCATTCAAACAACACATTTGCAACGCATACTCGCACAAACCTGAAAGTCATTACTATTTTTGACAAAGTATTTGGCAGAGAACCATAACAAATGCTCCATTTCTGATATTGCATCTGGAAATAGCCATTTGAATTTAAAGTCCCCTAAACCACAGGACACATGGCAATAATATAGGATTTTGGACTGCTGTTTTTAAAAACAACTTTGGCTGCTTTTGCCTAATTTATTTTACCTCATTTTTATACATATGAGAAATGTAAGTTAAGTAAATGTAGGGAGCATGTTTGAACTAAGAATGCATTTTCCACTTTTAAAAAAACTTACAACATATTAGAATGCATTTTCCACTTTTAAAAAAAGTTACAACATATAGATACAGTTAGCCTGTACCTCACTATATGTTTGAACATTTTTTTAAACTAAAATATGACTGAAACATGTATTTGTAATAAAAATACTAGGGAAATATCCTTGTAATAACTATAGTAAACCTTTCTGAATGACATTTCAATCTTCCCTAATGTTAACATGCAGAGACTGTTAGTTGTCCCTCAATATCCACCTTCCACTCTTTACACAGTAATGGAAACTTCTGGGCATAGAACACAGCTGAAATCAACCTTCACAGACTGCCCTGTAGCTAGGTGAGGCCATGTGATTTAGTTCTGGACAATGGGATGTGACCAAAGTAATACATGCAATTTTAGGGTGATGGCCTAAAAGAAACGGTACATGACTATTTATTTTCTCTTTAACTTGTTCCTGTTGCCTAAAAGGTGAACATAACAGTGAAGCCTAGAGCAGCCACCTGGACCATGAGATAAAAACTACCTGTTAAAAGTGGCAAAGCAACATGATTAAAGAAGCCTGGGCCTCCAACATCAGAAAGCCATCATATTAATCCAGGACTGCCAATCTGGACTTTTACATCAGAGAACAACAAACCTCCATGCTATTCAAGTCATAAAATTTTCAGCCTAAACTGTATCCCAAGCCAGCGTCTGATGGTGGGGGCAGGGGAGACAAAGGGAAAGGAAATACAAAAAGACTTCACCAGAATTCTAATAGAGAGACCTGTAATTGTGTGTGTGTTTGTGTGTGTATTTACTTATCATGTTTAATTTTCCTTTGAACTTCCTGGTTTTCCTTCATTAAGGTTATTTTTAGAAATAAAAAACTACTGTATTTTAGATGACCTAAAATTAATCTAAGAAATCACTTTGAAATTTTATAGATGAGAAAACAGAGATGTGAGTAAGCTAAATGCTGAGCCCAAGGCTATTCTTATAAAAAATAATTAGGTGTTTTTTTTTTTAGCTCATGAATGAAATTTTTTTCTGAAGAAACAGAGCAAGTTATGAAAGCAAAAAAGGAAGAGGAAGACATTATTAAAATGTACTGTTTGCATGACAAAGCATATACTACTATAAAATCAGTATGAAATGTGAAAGGCAGAGGGAAAACAATGACACAAAGACCAGGCAGAGTCTCCAGAGTAGGTGAGAAGTACTTATACAGAAGACATAGTGAGTTCCAAATGAGGGCACTAGAGCATGCTTTCAGCCAGCACAATCTACTGCCAAATGATGGTTCCAAAGGTTTGTACTGTTCAGGGAAAAATAGTGTCTAGCAGGTCATTCAACATTTAATCCTATGGGAATTAAGCTAAACTAAAAGCATCTATACTATCTATAAAGAAAAGCCAGGCAGAGCATAAATGAAAATTTGGGTGTTTTGAGCTCAAAAGCTATCTCATGAAAACTATGCCCCTACTACCCACCTCCCAAAATGTATATAAACAGCAACATACGCATTATACATTTAAAATGTTTCACTGCTGCCCTGGCCAGTGTGCACTGGAAGGTCATGGGTTCGATTCCCCATCAGGGCACATACCTGGATTTTGGTTAGGTCTCCCATCAGCATACATACGGAGGCAACTGACTAATGTGTCTCTCTCACATCGATTATCCTCTCTCTCTATCTTTCTCTTTTACTCTCCCTCTCCCTCTCTAAAATCAATAAAATATATATATATATTTTTCATTGCTTTGGAAATTGACAATTCTTTCACTCTGATAAAACAGGTATTTCCCCCAAAATCAGGTTTTTTAAATATAAAAATTAGTAGCTATTTTTTTTAAAAAAAGAAAATTTGATACAAATATAAATCTCAAATGTCTTGTGTGACTTGAATATTCTAAATGCTCATATTGTGTAGTGATCACCAACACAGAATTAGGCATGTAAAACTTATTGAATTATGGCAACAAATGCTTAAAAACCTGGACTCACAGAGTTATGACTCTGGTAGCAAATATACTTAGAACTCATGGAATATACTTTGCCATGAGAGTAACTTTATGTCAACAAACATCAGAATTCACTACAACTTTCTGAGAATCTGCATTCATGTTTTTCTTTTCTTCTAAGTGCAAGAGGTCATATTTGGCAATAATCAGATGTCTGTGTCACCAAGGAAAGGATTACAAACTCCATTTAAACTTTTAGGTCACCAAAGCACAATTAACCTTAAAAAGTATTCTGCTATGTTTCCAATTGTCTGCAAATTTTTGCCAGCAGATGAATTTACGACATACTGTAACTCTGAAATTCAATTTGCAGAAACACATCCTGAAGCCCTGGAAGATTCCCAAGGCAGTTTGGCCAAATGGACTTGTGATTTTCATCTGCATCCATGAGGCTGACTGCAGCACCTCAAACTGAAAGTTTTACCTCATTCAAATATCCAAAAATACCTTTCAAGGAAGCCAAGCCATGAATAAACTCCTCCTTGTCTCTGAGAGTCTGAGAGTAGCCTTTTTCTCATAAGCAAGTTGATAAATCAATAAATAAGGAGGCCTCTATCTAAAATGCAGTATAGTGATTTAAGACATAGCCCTCAGGAAACCAACATACTTCTCAATTACTGGGAATCTCTTGCTCTTTTTCCATCTCTGGAGAAAACCTACTGAAAAGGTAGGGGTTAAAGGTTTTGGCTCTGAGAATGTTGACTAGTGTCCAGGTGGTGAGGCAGATAGCCTTCTGGATCACTGTCACCATTTCTGATGCTGATACACATCAAGCCAATTGTAACAGACATGAGTCATGAGGACTTCAAGTTCTTTCTTCACAGAAGCAACAAAACCAGATGTACGGCCAAGCCTGGCAAGTTCTCCATCCATGCCCAATGTACCAACTCCACTTTTCACCATGTCAAAGATACCAAAAGCCTTTCAGATTTCAAAGACACCTCACAAACTTAGAATTTGTTATGCTTCAGTATACACAAAACATGAAATCTAGAAGTGCGCTGCATGAAATAATGCTAGTTATTACATACAAACTAAATGGGAACGTTTAATGGGAAATGGCATTACTGCCCATTTGACAATGATCTGCCTCAAAACATTAGAAGAAACCATCAGCAGTACTGAAGTATATAACATCATCGAATTGTACAGGAAAGAACACTGTGATAAATAACAAAATTTCAGTAGCCAGTCTAAACCTTCTTATTTAACCTACTTTAAATGATCATTTTAAGGACGTGGCTTATTAAAATTTACACACACTGGCAGCTAATTAGAAAAAGTATGTATCTTCTAAATAGAAGTAATTACTGAAGCCAATCTGTCTATATTATTCTCTATATGATAATATACATTTGAAAAAATGATTCAATTTGCGGCTTCAAATGTTTCTCTGATTGATGAATCACTTTGCTCATTCTGAATTAGAGAGGTTATTTTTAAACTCAATTTAGTTCTAGCACAAATTGTCAATAACCGTCTTTAAACTTAATGTAATAAAGATGGCCCTCCTTTTCATCTACTAATCAGCTCATATCTGATTGATAAGCCACTGGCCAAATGCAAATAATTCAATCTCCAATTATCAAATAAACTTGGGTAAAAAATACCAAGAGCAAGTATGAAACTTTTGATAAATAAATCACCCATCTTGATCTGAGGCATAGGAACTGAGCAGGGCAATAGCAGATATCCTTGTCTATAAAGCATGTAAGCTTTGGAAAGCTTGGGTTTGCATTATTTCTATTTTAATATTTCTAAGTTTGATAATATAAATAAAACATCTTAATTCCTAATTAGAAGTCTTACTATACTTAATTATATCATTTTATAATTTCAAATATATTCTAATAAGTAGAAAATGTCATACTTACTAAATATTCAAAAGTAAACATATTCTTTCTTAAAATCAGTATTTCCCCAAACTTATGTTTCAATAGACCTTGTCTCAATGGTCTAAAACTTCTGACCTCACTCTTCAAAACTGCTCCTTCATGTAATTATCTCTAAAATATTTAAAACATTAAAAACTAAATACATTTCCAGTAATTATTTTTCGTAATTCATTAAGTAAAGCATTGACTGTAACTTCGAAGCATTCTCCCAACTTGGAAACCAAGCACTTTTCAAATTTTTATTTCTGAGGTATTCTGGGAATAATATGCTAAATACTTCAATAATTTCTTATAAGTACTCTGACATTCTACCACATTTTGGAAAATCTTACTTACAGAAACATCTTTCAGTTTTTTCTCAAAGGAGAAATGACAAGACTCTTTAGAAAAATTAAACTTGTATGCATCTGCTGGTCCTGCTCCTGACACCAGTGCTTTTTTCAGTTCTTCAACATATTTTTCTTTTTCCATCGCCATGTCATCAGCTTCTTGGGAAATCACTGATTCACAAACTATGGAAACAATAGAAAGTTTTAAAATAAAAATAAATTTCTAAATGTAGGGACATAGTTCATTACTTGTTGCTACTAATTTATCACTTAGGTAACAGAAATTTATTTTTATTTTTTTAAAAATATATCTTTATTGATTTCAGAGAGAAGACAGGAGAGGGAGAGAGAGAGATAGAAACATCAATGATGAGAGAGTCATTGATTGAGCCCACAACCCAGGCATGTGCCCTGACCGGGAATCGAACCCCGATCGCCTGGAGCCTAGGTCGATGCTCAACCGCTGAGCCACACCTGGCCGGGCGGTAACAGAAATTTAAACAAAAAGTAAAATCAAACCCCACACCAAACATTTTTAACTCAAATTATACCTTTTAACTGAACTCACAATTTTTAAGAAACGCATTTTGTCTCACATCTTACCTGAAGGTATTAGACTCCCTGCATTCCTTCTCTTCTCGGGTGAAAGGCATGCATTGTAAGTTACCACAGAAACCACTATCCTATGCACCTGCTCCTAGGTCACAGCCAGAGAAGCTACTCCTCTGATCGTCATAAGCTGTATTTTACTCCATCTTTCTTCCTTGCCTCTATTATTTAAGAGAGCAAACAGTCAAGTCTACTTATTTCTCACTCACATGGGCAGCATCAAATTAAAGTAAAAGTGGAGTCCATTCTCATCTCAGTATGTGCCAGCAACAGAAAAGGCGAGGTGATAAGGAAAGGGAAGGGAGCTGACACTTACAGAGGGTCTCCCCTATGGCATACATTATATTAAAGATCTGGCTTCCAGCTCTCATCTAGGTATTTTTATTTTTTATTTATTTTTTTTAAATTTTATTTTTGTTTAAAATATTACAGATGTCCCCTTTCCTCCCCAAGTGACCTGTTCTACCCCATCCCTTCCTCCTCCCCAGTCCCTCTCCCCACCACTGTCCATGTCCTTGGGTTGTGCATATATGCATATAAATTCTTTGCTTACTCTCTCCCCCTCCACCCACCAGCCCTCCTCCATCCCTCTGACATTCGTCAGTCTCATCTATGCTTCCATGTCATTGAATCTATTTTGTTCTGCAGTTTATTAAGTTCTTTAGATTCCACATATAAGCGAGATCACGGTATTTTTAAAACTAATGTTTTACTCCTCCATAGAGCTATTTACTTCAATAAATATACTTTCAATTTTAGATACCCTGTTTCCTTGTCATACTATCCTGGTTCTTGTAACACTCTCCTTCTAAATATGTGAAGGTTTAAACATATTTAAATATCTTTCAGATCAGTCTTTACGCATGGTTCCTGAGTATTAACTCCATTTCCTCAGTCTGCTTCCACGTTCTGGTTCCGCGTTTTCCCTCTCCTCACGGCCGTTTTTCAGCATGGCTCTCCTACTGCCAGAGCATCGAGAACTCCAGGCAGGAGAGGTGGTATTAAATGAAGGCTGCTGCTCTGCCTTGCTTGGAGTCCCTACAGGTTTCACTGTTCTGGGCCAATACTGAAAGTTAATTTCTTAACTTGGTTTTCACACATGAGACAAAGAATTCAAATTTAACCCTCCCACCCAAACATAACACAGGCTTCAGGTTCTTATTTTTGTTGGGTTACTCACTTGTATCCCTTACTGACTGAGGCTATGCTGCATCCCAACCAGAGTGTAGTTTGGCGGAGGGCGGGGTTGGTTTTTTAAGATGATTTCATTAGCAGGATAACATTTCCAGGTTCCGTTCTTTGTAAGGAAAGCTCAACTCCAATTCCTTAAGAGGCCTGCAGTCTTGACATCATACCCCACTCAAGTACTACAATCACAGGCATTTAGACATATGTGTGGTTCCGATATTCAATGAACCTATAGTCAAGCTTTAGCTCCCATTAACCACTCTGGTTTTCAGGTACCGCTTCATACATGGAACCGAGGGATTTCTCTTTCTTACATTCAAAGCTGTGATGTATGTGTTTTCTTTTCAAATTACAAGATTTCATCTACATTTGTTTGGAATGATTCAGTAGTTTTCCGTGTCAAATCAGATACCACAAAGATGAAAATCCATATGGTTCTATACTTTTATATTCAGAAGTTACATTTATTTATTTCATTCCTTATAACACTGAAAGACAGACATTATTTTCATTTTACAAGATAAAAAATCAAGGCTGAGTGACTGAGTAATAGTCTAGGGTCATGGAGTCAGTAAGCAGTGAACCTAGGATTCATATTTATGTCTTTGGTTGTTCTGTTTGGACATGAGGCAGAGATATGGGATACTGAATAAACTATTTTCTTCCATGATATTAAAAAACATATTAGTATGAAGTACTACAGAAAACAACAAAATCTTGATTAAAGAATCCCTGAAAATACAACAGAGCTTTTCCTCTGTGTTCCTCTGTGTGCTATCAAGTGTCTGGAAGGCACATGACAGGCAATGAGGAAGAGAGTCTTGGAATCCATAAATATTTCATGAGCAATTTTTGATAATAAGTCTGATATTGAAGTGAATCTCAATACAGCCTTTAAAAACAAGAAAACATATTATATTCTTGTATGATTCTACAGCTTGTAAAATACTTTCACATATTTTTTCTCTCTAAAGCAGATGAATATTTAAGCTGACCATCACTATCAAATCTATTCACCTTTTAAATATCCCATTAGCTCTTCTGAAACAATCTAAAAATAAGACAAATGCTTGCTATTTGAAGAATAATTTCATATTTTCCATTTGGGTAATTCTGAAGAGTCGTAAATACATAGGAAAAGCAGTTTTTTCACAGAGAAATAAAAAATAAATCTGTAGAAGCCATCTTTAATGCAGCTATAAATAAACTTACAAAACACAAAAGATAATAAAAATAGATTTTCATTGATAAAGCATTTAGTTCAAAGTATTCTAAATTTCATTAAAATGAAAAGATACCTATCGAAATTCTTATTAATAGAATGTATTGATTCAATTCACCTATTTAAAAATGCTCCATGAGCATCTACTATGTGCCAGGCACTAGGTGCCCAGGCACTATCCCAAGTACATCTACTATGTACCAGGGATACAACAGTTAAAGAGAGACAAAAATACCAGCCTATGGAGCCTAGATTCAAGGGCTGACATCTTAGGTACCCTCTTACGTGACTCCTTCTGTGAATGCCATCTTGATTACTATTGTTATGGAATACTTCATTTTTAAGAAGAAAAACCATATGAAAGAAAATTATCTTTCTTTTTTTAACTGAATTTATTGGGATGAAACTGGCTCACAAAACCATACAGAAACCCATAGTTTTCAAGTGTACAACTCAACAAAACATTATTTGCACACTACATCATGAGCCCATTGCCCAAAACAAAGTCTCTTTCTGTCCCCATTTAGCCCCCTTTGTCCACCTCTACCTAGCCCCACCCCACTTTCCCTCTGGCTATTACTATATATGTTTTCTCGCTTAATCCCTTCACCTCTCATCCAGTCCCCCAACTTCTGATAGCTCTAAGTCTGTTCCATATAACCATGCCTCTCTTTTGTCAGTTTTTAAAAACTTCCCCTTTAAAACCAATGTTTAATCAAAAGGTACCAGTGTGTGTTTTTTAATTTACTTGAACATTTCCTATAAGAACAAATGTGAAATTCCGACTGCCTATTTAGAACTTCAATCTTAAAAAAACAACTTAGTTACCAGTTTTGAATGTTGTGTTAAGAACATCTGGAAGAAGCACAGCTGTAAGCATGCAATGCTACAAAAACTTCAGTGACCAGGATTAAAAGCCATGGAAAAAATAAAATTCAACAAGGATACAGCTGATTCACATAATACATTATAAAAAGTGAGCAGGCCAACACAATCACAAAACAAGAAATTTTTGTTAGGTAGGAGCCAGGAAAGCATCACTTTAACACTGTTTGTGGGTAGGTGAAAATGTTAAGTAAGGAAAGAAGATTCTTTCCTTTGGATCCTTATGTACAACAACCAAACACTATGCATATGTTAAGTTTGTGCCTGAGCTCAGAAGACACACAGACTTATCATCCCCATTAGGTTTCTTGATGATTTCACATCGTGGCCCCACTTTACTACTTCATTTACTAAAAGTCCTTTTCCCACTGAGCCCTGCCACATAATCTCCATCTGGGTCACCACTTACCAATGTGTAGGACAAATATAAGTGGGTATAATTATTTGATAATAAAAGAATTACTAAAATTTAATTTAGTCTTCAATGAAATTTAAACTACTCCAGAGATGGATAGATTTAAGTTTCTTACTGCAGACTGCAATTCTTGCAAAAGTCACTAAAAGTCATCGATCATTTACCCACTTTGTGACTTAACCCTGTGATATTACCCCCTATAATGGTGAAGTGATGACAGACCACAAGATAATTAGACCCCCAAAACATTCATTAGATAAAACATTGCTAATGAAAAAGAAATCAGTGAGTTTAGTGTGTGGGAGATTAAAAAGAACCCCACATCCTTTTAATTTCACTCAAATGAAGAGAAAAAAATTATCTAAATTGAAGGTTGCAGCAATCAAAAAGCTGTACAAAAAACAGGATGAGGTATAGGAAGGAAATCCATTTTCATGTTTCAATTATTTAATTGTTTCAATGTTCTTAATCATATTGTTGTCTATCTGTAAAGTGCCAAACCAAATTATATTTATGTAATAAGCCTTAACTAAACATGGAAACAATGTTATATTATTTGGTTTCATATTTTGCCCCTGAAATTTAAACAAGAAAATAGAAATGAATAATGAAAGCAAAAAACATATGTGAGATTTAAAACTTTATTAGATATCTTTGAAAAGAAAATGACCATATACAGTGCACTGTTAAATTTTCTGTTTGAAAGCTTTTTAGTACAGGAAGCCAACCCACCAAATAATACAGAAGTTTGATACCACATTTTTGACACACTAAATTCCATTAGCTGGAAAATAAATGGTAGAACATATTGCATTTAGTATCAATGCCAACAAGAAATATGAAACTGGATTTTCCATTTTACAACCTGCTAACTCAAAAATGAATGGTTCCCTTTCTTTTTTCCAAACCTGGTTGATATATTTGAGGCATCCTCTCATTCTTTCTTTCAAAAAATATCCATTAAGCATGTATGTCTTCAGTACTAGTCAAGATACTTATATAGAGTGGTTGACAAATCAGATGTGTTCCTTGCTCTCAATGGACCTAGTCTAGTGAAATAATAGTCTTAGTAATAGTATTAAGAACTGCCAACACATTTTGTATGACATAAACAAAAAGTTTCATAAATGTAAAATTAACTTAAATTTCTGGTTAGATTAAGATTTAAGTGTTAATGAAATTACTCTTTTTCTTCCCCAATACTTAATAACAACAAAACACATTTTAAACATGTAATTATTGTTCTTTGTCTTGGTGAAGGAGGGTTACTGACCAGATAAAAATTTAATCTTTTCCTTTAATAATTAAGGCTTTTAAAGTAGCTCAAGGTCCTCTGTTTAACCAAAATTGCTCATTGTATAGAATAAGCCATTTGCCAACTAGAAATATTTAAGTTATAAATACATTATTCCTCACATACAGGCAGTCACTTCACCTAGGACCTGCCTCCTGGGCTGTGCTGTTGGAATTATCTTCCCCCCCAGATGACTGGAATGTACCTACCGCCATGGTCTTCACCCCTGCGTACTCACTTCACCCTAAAGCAGAGCTACTGTCACCTGGATCCACCTTCTCCAGCACACACAGAGCTAACCTGACAAATTTTCCTCCACTCCTGCACTACAACAATCAAGCAACAACTGATTTCTCTTACATAAAAACTTATAGTTTAAATAGATACCATAATAGGTACCGCAAACATTACTCTTGAAATTTCTTCTACAATAATCCTTGTATCAACATTCCTTGCAATCTGTCATAAAAGATAAAAAAACACCTCCTGAGTATAAATTCAGTTTGACTATCTTATGTAACAGAATATTTTTTTTTAATTTATTGAATTGACTGGGGTGACATTGATTAGTAAAATTATATAGGTTTCAGGTGTACAGTTCTATAACACATCATCTGTATACTGATTGTGTGTTCACCACCCCAAGTGAAGTCTCCTTCACTACCATTTATTGGCACTTTACTCTCTTCTACCTCCTCCCATCCCACCCCACTTCCCTCTGGTAAGCACCATACTGTTGTCTGTGTCTAAAAAGTTTTTTTGTGCTCTTTTGCTTAATACTGTCACCTTTTCACCCAACCCTCAACCCCTTCCCCTCTGGCAGATGGCAGTCTGTCCATTCTCTGTATATATGAGTCTGTTTTTATTCTGTTTGTTAGTTTATTTTGTTCATTAGATTCCACATATCAGTGAAAGCATATGATACTTGTCTTTCTCTGACTGGCTTATTTCAGTTAGCATAATACTCTCCAGGTCCATCCACGCTGTCACAAAAGGTAAGATTTACTTCTTTTTCACAGCTGAGTAGTATTCCATTGTGTAAATATACCACAGGTTTTATTTATCCACTTATCTATAAATCAACAAACAAGTGTTGGCAAAGATGTGGAGAAAAGGTAACCCTCATGCATTGTTGGTGGGAATGCAGATTGGTGCAGCCTCTGTGGAAAGCAGTATGGAGTTATTTCAAAAAATTTAAAATGGAACTGCCTTATGACCAACCAATTCCACTTCTGGGAATATATCCGAAGAAACCTGAAACACTAATTCGAAAAAAATATATACACCCTTATGTTCATTGCAGCCTTATTTACAATAGCCAAGATTTGGAAGTAGCCCAAATGTTCATCAGTAGATGAGTAGATTAAAAAATCTGTGGTGTAACAGAATTTTTAACATTCAAGAAAGAAACAATGTCAGAACATATAATTTTAAAAGATGATATAATATCAAATGTTAGAGAACTACTTCAAAAGTTGATAGAAGATAGTAACAGTATATAAATTAACATTACAAAATTACTTTATCTAAAACATCATTCAAAATTACAAATTGTAGAAATGACTGTTGCATAGCTGTAGAAATAGTTTTTTTAAGTCTTTTGATAAAATATTTTAGAGGAGTATTAAAACTTTGCTATATGAGTAAAACATAATTCTAGATTTTTTTTTTTTTTTAATGTATCTTTATTGACTTCAGAGAGAGGAAGGGAGAGGGAGAGAGACAGAAACATCAGCGATGAGAGAGAGTCACTGACCGGTTGCCTCCTGCACGCCCCACCTGGGGATCGAGCCCAAAACCCAGGCAGGTGCCCTGACCAGTAATTGAACCACGATCTCTTGGATCCTAGCTTGATGCTCAACCTCTGAGCCACACTGGCTGGGCTAATGCTAGATTTTTGACTTTATACCTGCTATGTTCCATAAATTATTTCAGGGCCAGTAACCTTTTTAAAAAGATTATCATGGGCACAGAGGGGATAAATGGTGATGAAAAAATTAAATAAATAAAACGATTATCACCAAAGATAAAAATAATCAAGAGCCTATTTCATAAAAGAAGTGCCAAAATTCCATTTATAGGTTTGAACCTTACATGACAAAGCTTTAGGCTATGAGCTCTGTTTTATTTTGTTATAAATGTGGTACATGTTCATAAGAAAATAATTTAAACAACATAAGTTTATAACATAAAAAGAAAAGCACCACTACTCCACTCCACCAAGCCAACACAAACCCTTGACCCAGCCAACCCCTCTTCCCTGCCCCCCAGTATTTCCCTAGGGTCTTGATAAAAGATACATGTAAAAAGTACTATTTATGTTTTGTATAAAGAGGTCATTTAAAAAGTCCAACCAAGACCCAGTACTAAGGCTCAAATGGTAACCAGAATTTGCATATCCTTATTTCTCTATCCTTCTATTAATGCTAATTAAAGAAAATAGCATTAAACACTACAAATCTGTATATAGACATCAATAACAAGTAAAAGCAATCATACTAATTTTACCCAATATCTGTTTTAAAAATATACTTTAATTTGAAGTATCACTGACAACTGAAAAATGGCAGGTTACTGAAATTATGCTTTTAATATTACCTGTTCCGGTCCATGCTGACTGGCCATCAATAAGTGTAATAACAAAACCAGATCCTAGTGTTTTCTCCCAAGTGACTTGTAGAAAATGAATTACATCAGGTTCAGAAGCAAGACAGATTCTGCTTATTTTTTTCTCCATTTCTGGTCACCTATTATAGGAGAGTAAAATTAATATTTTTGCAAAAAATGATGACTATCAAACAGTGATGTTTTCTGTATCGGTTTCTCAACTGTAGCACCAGGCTCAGTGACTCACTCATTCCACTGAGACAGGAACACATGGATATCTAATAGATCCAATACCATTTATTAAAGACTATCCTTTCCCAACTGCACTGCTGTGTTTCCTTTGTCATCAGTCATGTGACTGAATATATATACAAGGTTTAATATCGTTTCTTTGTTTTTGTAGGGGGGTGCAATTTTATATTTTAGATGTGGGATGTCAAGGTTACACTGAATATTGATTCTGTTACTGTGATCCAACACACTAACAATCTCTTCCTGACCCTGCCATTTAAAAATTTGATAAACCTCCCTCCTAAGTATTAAAATCATTTATGTAAAATGTTATCAGGACCAACTCAAGTATAGACTTCTGTGGCTTGCCACTGGAAACAAGCCTCTCATGGACATCAATCATTACTCAGTATGTATACTGCTGCTATCTCCATTTAAGTCACAAGGATTCAGTATTTGAGAGCCCTCTGGAAAACCTACCTACTCCACCAGTCTAGCAATACTATTTTTAAAAAGGGGGAATAAATTAAGACTGAGACTTTTTCTTAGTGATCCATTCTCATTTCTAATGATTAGTGTTTTCTATAAATTCAAAAACCATTCTTCTGGTAATTCACTCTAGAACCTTGCCCAGACTGACCTCAAACTTACTAGACTATGATATGACACACATTATTTAGTTCAAAGAAAATAATTACATTTTTCTAATACTAGAATATCATTCAACCATGTGCACTTCATCAAAAGATGAATAAGCTGAAGAAGCAAATACCAAAACTGAAGAAATGCCCTAAAAATTACAAGTAAGCAAAGAATAAACAAAATAAAAAGCCAAACCAGGAACAAAGCACAAACTTCAAAGATAGAACACTAGAGAGAATTATTCTTTAATCACATAACATGAATCTCTCATAGATGATCCTAAAAGAGCTAAAAGAATAGTATTCTTTAATCTTTTATTTGAGAGGAAGAATGTAAATTTGCTTCAAATTTTTATGACCAATACATATAACATGCTACAAAAATCCAGAAGTAAATTATTAATTGGCATTTCATTGACAACTGATTAAGTTTTAATAAGAGCAAATTTTTACATCAGAAGTTTTAATTTCCTTTTTCAATTTAAAACTATTGTTCTCATAAACGAAGCATCATATTTTTCTCAATTGCCAATGAACAGAAAAATAAAAACAACTCCCTTTGTCAGCTCTTCACAAAACAAAGCTAGCTTACCACAGATCTCTGCCTTCTGGGGGTGGGAAGGCTGCTTAATTGGAGAATGCTAGAGCTGTCCTACCTTACAGAACAAGGAAGCAAAGAAACTTCCATAATGAAGAGGAAAATATCTAAAATTAAGAGTGCAAGATACCTCTATAATTGACGAATTTGAAATAATTCTACTTCCTACCTAAGGTTTACTCAGGAAAATATTTATTATTCTTCCCAGTAAAAGACAAAGTTATAAAATAATCATACTTTAGTCACATCAGTTAAGCATGTTGACATTTTTAAAATATGTAAATATGTAGGGTTGACATCATAATCACTAAAAATACATAATTATTTTTAAATAGTCAAAATTTTTTCTACATTGAGGCCATCTTTGCCTAGATATGCTTAATTCTGAAATGCTTCATCCATTTGTGAATATTTCTTTTAGATCAGTCAATACACTTAATATGCAGTAAATTACTCACATGCTCCATAATCCTTAAATTTGAAAATTACTGGAAAATATGTGTTACTGTTTTTCTAATGCCAATCACTGAAAAAGACACATAGGAAGAAGCTTACACAATTCTAACAAGGAAGGAGAGTAATAGAAACTATTTATGAAGGCCACATTTTGCCGCTACAAAATCTATATACAAATACACAAACACACACACATTTACACAGATTACTTATTCTCAAATGTGCCTCATGAACCATTACGATTGTTAGCAATGAATGTAACTTTGTGAAAGGAAAACACAGCACTTAGAATTACTACTCTAAAACAGCAGTTGGTTTCACTGCTATTTTTTACCGTATTTAAAACAAGTCACAAATTTTAAATTATAGAGACAAATTAGTTTAAAATTCAATATTCCAAATGCCCGTCAGTAACTCATCCTACTCACAATTATATAAAGGGCTTTAATTTCAAAAATCTTAAAAAGATATTTAGGAATCAGATTAGTTTTAACAGCAGCTTTGAATTATTAATGTTTAAAATATCTTCCAATTTTCTGATTAACTCTAGGTACTCATCACAAAAACAAATTTATATTATTTCAAAGAATTCAATTACTTTAGTAACTCAGATTTGAAACTATGGATGGTACATGTAAGCCATGTTTAAGCACTTAACGTATCAATAGCCAAATGTGACAACTCAATTTTCTGTATTTTGTGCCTCAAGTAGCCTCAGAAATGTTTTCTTTGTATCAACTGAGTCTTAATTTCCTGATAATATACTATTTGAAGCAGTTTTGAAAGTACTTCATTAATTCAACTTACTGAGGTCACCTTCTCATTAAATATCAAATACAAAATACCTAAGAAGTAACAGAAAGAGGAAAAAGGATGATTTGCAATGTCTTTTAATATTCAGTATTAACAAATCAACCACCTCTTTGCTCTCACCAGGTATGTAAATAGAAATAGTCAACCATAGGGGTTTTTTGCCCCCCAAGACTACCTGAAGAAAGGGGCTGGAATCCTTTTCAGAGGGACTGATTGATCAGGGCCATAAGAAAGTCCAGGTTTTGTTTTCTGAGGGCACTAAAGGTCAGGCTAGTATCAGTACCTCTCCCAGCCAGAGCCAAGGATCTAAGACAAGCCTGCAGGTGGAAACAGCTGGGTCCCACCCCAATTTGTACATCAGTAGCTTTATTGAGGCTCAGAACAGTTGAGAATTGAGAAGCTTATCTTTAGTACTTTGTGTCTTTGATACTTGGCTTCTCTCTGAGAAGAGAAATAAGTTGTTGGCTGGTATGCAATTGATGTGATCTACACTCTGAACAAATACCATTCACAGTTGCCTCTGAATAAACAAGACACTTTTTAAATTAGTTTACAAAGAATTTTGTATGCCCTTTTGGATGCTGATAAGGAGCAGTGCAGAAGCCAACTCTCTTAGGTCAGCTCAAGTTAGTGACAACACTGTATCATTGATAATGCCATTCTGAACTTGAGCTTCTTTCAGTTTCCTTTATAGTAAGTTATGGTTTCTTTTCAAGCTGCCTGGGCTGCAGGTGTTCAAACTTGTGCAGCTATGCCAAGGAGTTGTACTTACAGATCAGAAAAGGCTAAATGCATGTTTCTAATGAAGCAATTAAACTTAAGTGCCCCCTTGTTGAGAAAAGTAGGCTGATACCTAAAGAGTGTTCAGAATAAAGATTAGCACACAGCACATGCTGTTAGTAGTCTGTAATTAGATTTCTGATCACATTATTTTGTTTGACCTTAGTTTTTTTAAAAAGGAGAAAAAGAAAATGTAAATTGTAAGCCAAAAGTGTGCGGATAAATTTTTTGAGCTCCATCACATTACAAAAATTCAAGGGTAGGGCCATATATTATTGCTAGATAAAAAAGAAAGGTTTAGGCAACAAACACTGAGCTATTTACTTCTGGTAAGACAAATATCATACAATTCAGGAAAACTAAGTGTAAAGAACTATTTTCCTATTTGTTTAGTGTTTTTTTTTTTTAAAGCATTGACTATTTGTATGTATCTTGTTGGAATTCTCATACTGCAAATTTTTTAATTATTTATTCCTAGCATTTTCATTATTAATAGCTTGTCAACTTGCTGGTTGATATTATCTTTTATGCTAAGGTTTTGTTTTGAAAAATGAGCACAAAATTAATTTACCTTTAAATTTCCAAAGCAATTAAAACAAAAATATCAAGCTAACCTACAAAAGAAATGTTTCCTGAAATAATCTTTTCAAGTTAGAATTTTCTAAATTTTAAGAGTAAAGAATTTATAGGACTATTAAATGCCTTTCTAATCAGGGTAGGACTATATTCATTCTATTAATTTTAAAAACGAAAGCAAGGTGACCATCTATCCAGGTTCAGCTGAGATTTTCCTAGTTTTAATACTGAAAGTCCCATGTCCCAGGAAACCTCCTGACCCCAGGCAAACTAGAATGGTTGGTTTACTCTAAGTAAGAGTAAAATATAGTTAAGACTGTGGACATAATCTTATTCAAAAACTTGTAATATACAGCTGGACATTCAAAGAACACATTATGTTAACAATCTGATGCTTCAGAAATAAAGCATTAGAAATATAAAATAAATCTAAAAATTTAGGCTTCATTGCCATAGTCATAGTCCATTCTCAATTACCTCTTATGGCTGTGGAATGCCAGCTGCTGCCATTCCAAATATCATATTACTGTTCATTTCCTCTTCTAATCTTTTATAAATACCATTAATAATCATTAGTTTCAGTAATTCATTTAAATTTAACTTCCTCTTCTTTCTCTCCTCTTACCCGTGGAAGTATTTTAAAACAATAAAATGGCCTGAATAAATTTCCCACAAAATATCTAACATGTAGGTTTCCAAAATGCCCTTAAAATTGGACCAAAAGTTACAAGACTGTGATTTATTTTATATTCATCAAAAGGACACTCTTGATTACAAATAACTAGGGCAGATGAATGAGAGTATACTCATCATTTTGGAAACTTTCTAAACTTTCACAAGAACACTTCAGTTCTAATTGCAGAGTTTCATGTGAGAATGACACTTAGCAGAACTAAAGAGATAAGATAGTACCTGAAATACAGCATTACTAAGCAACAGCCTTTTCTCATTACGAATTTAGTAATTATGATTTCTTAAGCCTCAAAGTTTTGACATGTTTCATATTTTACTTTGAGGAGAGTGAGGGTATTCCTATGAAACACCATCAGTTACTTACGCTTATATACAGTCTTTTCTACATGAAAAAATGTGCTGCTCAGAACTGAAATTTAACTAGAGGCGCTTGTGTGGAAAAGGAACAAGATTTGCACTGTACTTTTTCTCATTC